GGATACATCCCTGGGTTTGTGTTAATAGCAGCGATGGCTTTTTAATGGATCTGTTTTACAGGTAGTATCACATTAACTTGCATTGGCTTCAATAGAATAAATTTGAATGGTGGAGTGTGGGGATGGTGGTTGAGCTGAATGCTTTCCTGTTCCAATGGTCACATATTTATGGTATTTGTAAGTTAGACTGATGGGGCATAAATATGCAATTCAGAACAAGAATTTTCTCAAACACTATATAAATATATTTTATATTTGCTCTGTAATTCATATTTTTTCATTATTTCTATGCCCATTAATTGCAATAATATTAAATACAGTATATAAATATTGTGGCATACATTACAAATATTTCTGGAAAGTTCATTTTTCAGGTTTAGCATTTGGGATATAATACTGTTCTGTGTACTGGAATAATGTGTATTACAAGAATCAGATAAATTGTGGAATTTCTTATAATCACAGATAGCCTTGAGATGATGGGCATGGCCAACATATGCTCAGGAAGGTTTCAAACCTTTTTTACTAAATCTTGGATATTGAAAACCTACCTTATATTGCTGTAAAAGATTTAAATTCCTCTGGATTTGGTTTTTGTGCAGTATTTTAGCATATTTTGGGTGTTAAATCACAGATGATCACTTGTTTTTTATATGCCGTGTACAATGTGTATACCAACACGGAAATGTTTTATGGTAAATTGACAGCGTATGACCGCATATTATATTGAATACAGTTTCTGATTGATCAGAAGGGCAAACAGGTCAGTCTAAATATAAAACCAGCCGTTTTGTGGTAGTTGTGGGACACAGCGCAAACTCCGTGGCCCCACCTATGAACAAGTTCTCTGATTGGTCAAATTTCACACTAGAACATTTCATTCTCTAGTACCGTATTATGACACACAGCAAATGCAGCATAAATAATTGGAGTGAAACGTAATCAATAGACATTACAGCATAGAGGCAGAATGAATCTGAATTTATAACTTTGTCCTATTGAAAAAAACCACCTGAACCCATGACTGTTTACAGGAAGCAATTCTTGTTCAGTGAAGTACAAAAACAAATAATAACATATTTGACAGTTCAGCGTTTCTAGCTTTACATTGATTCCTGTATTAGAGCATTATTCAATTACTCATTGTTATTGATTCAATTCAAATTCAGTAGGCCATACAAGCTGATGCTGGTATTTACTAGGCAGAATAATCTTTTTTTTTGGGCTATTTGTATTCATGGCAGTTGTCAATGTTCATTGTGAAATGAAGGCTAGTTATAGAAAAGCTTAACAAATTGTATAATTTTCAAAGTTTATTTGCTGGGATTGAAAGTTGTTTACAATGCACATGTTTAATTAATTGGCTTGCCATCCCATAACCACCATCAGTGACAAAAAAAAAATAAAATAAAATAAAACTTGACTTTAATATAGGGTCTTCTCCACATTGTAAGCTTTAAAATGATGAATCATCTACTGGGGCGGATTGCTATAAGCGGTCTTTAGACGGTCTTAACAGTTAGCCGGCTATAATCGTGACGTCACTACTGGCCTATGATTATAGACCATTGCTATACCGCTGTCTAACCAGTTAGCTGTCTTAAATTTTAAAGCCTACTCCGAGGAGGCTTAAAACGATCTTAAATCATTTTCATCATGGCATTCTGCTGATTAATTCAACAGTGCAATGGCAAGATCTAGGCCTAGATCGTCAAAGTCGGAGAATCGAATGACGAATACTCCGCACACTTCTCAGCGTCTGTGAAAATAGGTCTATGTTTATTTACGTTCATTTCGATACGTTTGCGTGCATCGAGCACTGATGACGTCACCCCAATCTTCCGTTACCAGAGTGTGCTTGTTTGCATTTCAATACTCAAAGCGGTCTTACGGAAGACTTTTATAGCAATGGTCTTAGAGGAATGACTTTAGTAAGACTGTCTAAGTGATAAAGCCGGCTTTATTCGAGAAGTTAAGAATACCAGTTAAGACTGTTTTATAGCAATCCGCCCCTGGAGTGAACGTACTATACTATTGTTATGAGTAAAATTATTATGGCTTTCCTGTAGTAGTAGAAGTAAAACTTTATTCACAAAGCACAAATAAAAAAATACAATGCTGTTTTTCATTATGGCTGTGAGGTACCTTATTTACAATTAACAATATTACCTTACTAAAGTATACTGGTACATTACTGCTACATTCTTATGCTAATTCTCAGTTTACGATACGATACTCCTTTATTGTCATCTTAACATCATGGTAAAAATGAAATTTGTGTTAATTGATCCAATAGGCAAAAACAATAGTATGTTCAATTCAGAAATATAAAAAGTATGAATAAATAGATAATAAAAATGTACATTTCTTGAGAGAATCATATAGGTGGGTGGAGTATTAGGATCAAGAAGAAACCACCAAGACCCCACTAGCTGAAAAGTAAAGGGGACAGCACTGCCCTGAATCCGAAAAAAAACCCAAAAAACCAGAAACTCCAAAAGGGGAAAATAATCTGGGAGTCACAGAAACAGAATAACAGCTGACTGTCTGCTGGTGGATCACAATGAGTCTTCTAATCAACCAAGAAGGTCCCCACCCACCAATATGAGACATAGTTGAACTATTTTTCAATGCCATTTTGGATTCGACTTAGGTAATTTCAACTGTAAAAATGTAATGAATAAATACATTCCTACATTTACAATTTACACTTAGCGACAGTATATAAAAACCTAAAATCGAAACCTATGGATTAATTTATTCTAGAAAGTTAAATTATGTTTGAAGTAGAGATATTATACATGTACATGCAGGACTTTAACTTTTTACAATTTTTGAATAAAAGTTTGAATATAATATATATAAAAACCTACATATTATGCTGGTTTTGATATTATTAAAAGAAAGAAACTAAATTAGGCTGATAATATTCACCAAGATACTGTACACAGTTAATTTGCACTCTTAAACTTAATTTTGAAGTTTAATCTCAGTAGAACAATTTTTCAATGCCATTTTGGATTCAACTTAAGCAAGTTCAACTGCATATTAATAATATACTGTAGATTAAGGGAGTGTAAAATTAACAATTTATGTTCCGATAAAAAAAAAAATCCATTTCGTATTCTTCGGATTTTCTGTATGGCTCGATGGGAAACCTGCAACTCTTGCCTCTACATATATTAAGTTTATATCATTTAAATTTAGATATTAAATTACTAATACAATTACCTAATATTTGAGGCAGGGACGAAAGGCAACCTATTACTTGTATATGGGCATGGTTAATGATATAGCTGCATGGGGCTGACCTGAACCATACCAAGACTTAGTTGGTATTATGTTTTCATTATGACATCAACTGCATTTACTCTAGTTCCTAACAGTATATGTCACATGGCTTAAACCTTGCGAAACACCTGCATCCATCTGTAATGGTTGCGCTAAGGTTTTTGCTCTTTTTACAGGCTTTCTTCAAATGGCTACAAGACAAGTTTTCCATCCTCCTTTCAGCTGTAAACAGTTTTCAGATCACTTTTACTAAGACACTGTAAATCAAATCCCTTGGCTTCTTTTTCACCTGAAAGTGATAATAATATTAATGTTAGCACTAAAACAGCATCTGCAAACAGGGACAATGATAAAAAGGGATATTAAAAATTAAATGATAAACACAATTTATTGAATTATTGCAGGATTTATTTATTCAACATAGACTTTGGTCTCTAATCTATATTATAAATTTAGTAAGGCATTTATGTTTGTGCCGATTTGCCGTCCAGAGTGCGTGCAGAGCTCTGGAAGAAATATATCGTAGTACCATTCTTTTAAATGTCTTAAAATTACTGGCATATTATGAGTTCCTATGTATGTCCATTAAAATATCATAAAAAATAAATTTACAATAACACGAGTCTACAAAATATTGGACGAGGACGTGTCACACTACAAAAGCAAAATATGTGAGAATTCATCATTCAAATTATGTTAGTACAGTACACTTGCATTGACAGCTTCATGACTCGGGACTTTCAGAGTTTCCATGGAATCTGTGTTGGTCCAATGAAGATGTTGGCTTATTATGTTATGTGGTGACTGAACTGACATCATACCTATGTTTTTTCGGAAATTTAGTAATTATAGCACACACAATATTTGATGAAAAAGAGCATGGGCATAAGGATTATTACTACTATTTTTATTATTATTATTATCGCACAAGACCTACTAAATCCTTTCCGAACCACTGGGGCTCATAGAGCTGGACCTTATCCCCAGTTTCTGTAGTGTGAAGCGGATGAGAGTTGTATTCCCCCTGGACGGGACACTAGTCCATCACAGGTTAGTCCCCAGCAGATTGCTGGTACCCATTGATACAGCTGGGTGGACTGAAGCAATGTAGCTAAAGTGCTTTGCCCAAGGACACAAGCGAATCTGCACTGCGGAGACTTGAAACCCCGACCTTACGATTGAAAGTCCGAACCTTAATTACTGCGCCAAACTGCCGCTACTAGACCTACTATTTTAATTTTTATCCCTTGTAAACTTTTCAAAGTAAAAATAAGTTACTGCAATACTATATAATGTTTTACTCATTGCATACTGCATCTGCAGCTCATCATTGTGATTTTTGTGGTTTATTTATTTATTTATTCTCAATTAGTGGCCCAATCAGTTGGTGGCCCAATCAATTGGTGGCCCAATCAGTTGGTGGCCCAATCAGTCAAAGAGACTGGTCTCCCTTGGGGCCCTGGGTACAAAATATTTTTAGACAACAAAAACTTAACTAAAAATTTACACATTTACGTACATACAATAAAAGATAATTAATCTGACACTAATGATGCCTTAAAGTTGCTTTTAAAAATCATGTAGATGGTGCGGTTCATTTAATTCAATATTTCCTGGTGTTAATTTGCTTTTTTATTTTCACTTTAGTAGGTCAAGGAGGTACAGTATATTATACACATCCTTGGTTAAAGTTATTGTCATGTCTAAAATTATAGTTTAAGATGTAGCAGCATTCAATATTATGCTATAGAATATTCTGTTACATATGGCAATACTAGGAGCGTTTGGCTGACTGGGCTTCACAGAATGATGACTATTTAAATGATACTTCTGGGCGGATCCATATGGGATGATCCTCGCGACATCCGGTCCCCCACCACCCTTAACTCTTGCAGTAGTTCTGAACCCTTCCGGCAAATATCTGGACCCGCCCCAATACATCACAACCTTGCGAAAGTTTGCCGATACAATGCCTATAAATGTTCACTAAATATACCGGTAATGGAATAAAATATATTAAAAAGTGACCATGTTAATCGCTAAAATAAGTCAATACGATATAGGAATGTCACATTCATCACAACATTTTAGAATGTATGATATGATCATGGAAATATAAAATTGTATACCGCCATGTTATAATCAATTTTTTACTGTATTATTTTTTAGGAGTACGGTATCTTACAGTACCTGCTGTTTTTCTCAATATTATAATCAAAATTATTGGCAGAGTAAAGGGTAAATTGTCTTTAATTTGCAAAGGTCTTTCTAAAATGTAGCAGTATTCAGTAATTCAGTTAATACAGAAAAAAAAAAATTATACTCGAATTTTCAGAGGATTGCCAATTCTGGCCATCTAGACGTGCCATAATCATAAATTTTCTTAACTCGGCCACAACCATGGTGGGGCTGAGGCAGTATATACCCACTATCTGTGAAAAAATTAAGGTAATTGCCAGAATTGCTGTAGGACTCGCATACCTTCCATATCTCGGAGCCTGGCAACCTTCGGTTTTAACCCATTCCTAAGTTCTTCAATACCTTTATCAAGCTGCTTTTGATCTGTGAAAAAGAAAGTTTAAGAAACATTTTTTTTTTAGAGTTTTTCTTGGTTTCCACAAAAACATTCACATCCAACTGAAAGTGACAATTATAATCATATTAACTCAGTTAAAGTATCGGTTTTTCTAGTGGTATTAACATGCAGTGAGGACTGATTGGGTAATCATATGAGATAATGAGGTGATATTTGCTCAGTAAATAGTCAGGGGCATCTCTGGAGGCTTGAAGTCTGATGCTTGTGAACATGCGGCACTGGTATAGGAAGGCAAGCATGTTTTAACCACAGGAGTGCAACTCTTCTCAATGGGTACTATATTAACCTCACTTGCATACATAACTTTACTATAACTTAAGGAAGATTTTTTCATATATTGCTTTGCAAACCTGCCCACATTTTTGGCATGTTAGTGCACCACCTGTAATAAAAAAGAGATAAAAAATCTTTCTTTATTATAATCATGCCCACTGCCCCCATATCTCATGATGGAAATATGTCTTCTTCAGGAAACCAGTAAATATACAGCATTTATCAGTCAAATCGCCACATAGCATTCTTTATATGACAGGGTAATGAGATCTCAACAGAGATCCATCAAGATCTAAGATGCACCCTAAATCAGTTTTACTACAAACATTAACAATTTTTAGAAAACTTGAATAATAAGCAAGATAACTGAAATTTCCCAAGTATATACATTAGTCCTTAATGCCTGGATTGCAAAGGCTATGTGAACTTGCATACATATAAGGGGCGCTATACACTTTGCAGCAATGATCATATCAAGGCTTATCTCAACAACTTACCATCACTGAGTACTTGCTGAGTAGTTGTAACAGGCATTTTCACAAACATGTTCCCAAAGCAAACCCATACATTCTTTTCTGATTAAAAAAAGAAGCAATATACTTGTAATGAAAACCTTCAGAGTAAATGCATATTGCTATACTGTACACCATTTTATCGGGTCTGTATTGAAACAGCGCCACCAACATCTCACAACATCCAGCAGCCTGGCCTGAGCAAATTTTGTTTTTCCAGACACATAATATCTTCTTATTGTACTCTGATAACCAAAAACACTGCAGGTTTTATGCACCCTTATTCAGGGACAGATTTCAGGGGAGGGAGCCCGGGCCGGCCGTGTTCCCCTTTTGGAAAATAAAAAAAAAAAAGAAAAGAAAAAGTTGATCGCTCAAAACGCCTCAGTGGTTATTTTCTGGCATCTAGAAAACAAAAATTTCGCAGGCATATGCCCCCAGATCCCCTAGGATAATGTTGTTTTGATTGGCCCCACTTTCAAGCTCCCTTTTCTAACATCTCTGGATCCACCCCAGCTATTTTCTTTTTTTGTCGTGCACCAGTCTCAGAGCATAGTAAACGTTGGTAGCTACGTAGAGTGAAATGCCTAGGCCTCTGGATGTCCTCCAGTGGTAGTTGCTAGGTTCTCTGAAATTTTCTTTACAAATTTAGCGAAACTGGTGTATTGTATACAGTAAAACCTGAGTATGAGACAAAACAAAGTCCATCTTCATACTACCTAAAATTCCCCCTGCATACTAATTTGGTAGAGTATAGTGACTGTCTTCTGACCAATTTCCAATGAAGGTTTCTCATTTGTGTAGATGAAAAATACAAATATTGCCAGACTGTAGTAAAGTAGGGCAGGCCACTGAGGCCTGAGCGGGGGAATATATTGTCTGGTCAAAAATTAGGCCTAGAAATCAGCCCGTGCATTTTGGAAAACAAGGGCCGTTTTTGCTTAAAATTAGGCTTGTACCTAATCTTAATATACAGTACAACCAATGTATTCATCATGCAGTAGTTATAATTCTGCACACCTGTTTTCCTACTTCAAAAACTAACTCCTATTTCAGTATTTGAGTTTTTGAAGTATCATATGCAAAATTAAAATCTTTGCAGTTTGGAAATACTGTACCTTTTTTCGATTTTTCATTTGGTTGCATTTTTGCTAGTGCTCTTAAAGCTTCCCTGTTCTTATTCCGTTTCTTGTCCAACTCAACGACCTTTGGAAGAAAATGCATTTCATAAATTTATTAGTATGAGACAGAAAGGGCATCCATCCAGCTTATGGATGGCCAACCAATGAAAGATTATCCTACATTTGCAATAGCCTACAAAACATCAGTCTTGCCATCAGGGAGTAGGTCCAATCCAAACTTTGAATTATTATAATTTATGCGTGCCAATTTGAGGGAGTGCTCGAGAAAAAAGAAACAAAAAGGAGAGAAAACGGTGTACAAAGAGAACAGAAAAACAAAAACAGAAATATTATCAGAAAGAAAACATTAAATGGAGCTGTAAAAAGCGTCATTCACGAACAGATTGATTGTGGCAAATCATTTTAATCTAAGGAGCAGCAATTGAATACACTATCAGAATGTACAGTACTTGTTTGTGTACTTGTAGTTGCTTACGAATGAATAAAAATCAATTTCCAACATTAAAAGTTATTAGTCTTTGGTGGGGTTTCAAGCTGATACGCAATGTCACGTAATGCATTGTAGAGAAGTGCTTTAGCCGGCAATTTCATATTCCCCCTCCATACGGAAAGTTGAATATGCACTTCTTAAGTGATGCATAAACATAATAACAAAATGGATACGGTTCCCACTTCCCACTCAAAAAATCTAAAACTTTGGTTCTATAAACTGAGACGACGTTGGATGGTGGCAGTGAATATGATGAGGGGATTGTCAAGATGAGGATACAGTAATAGTAATGACGACGATGATGGTAATGAAGATGTAGTGGTGATACGATGACAGTGAAACAGTAGACCTGCCAACTCACCCGATCCTGTCGGGTGTCACCCGATATTTAAACAAATCTCCAGTTCTCCTGATCGAATGTAATTTTTACCCGATTTCACACGCCACCCCCTCTCCCCAAAAATACTCCGATTTAGGCATAATTTGATCATTATTTTTCAATGTATTTGCCGCCTGCTCGCTTCACGGTGCAATAAACAAGCAGCCATTTTTAATTCGAATGTCGCCAATGATTTGCAGTGACATGACTTTTTTTGTGTCTTTCATCATCTTTTGGTAATTCTGGAAACCTCTTGATTCTTAAAAAAAATCTCCAGATTTTCATGACCCAAGTGTTGGCAGGTCTGAAAGTGTTATATAAATAATAGCAACGTCAATGATAACAACCAGGTAATGACTATTTTTATTTAATTGGCGGTATGGTGGCTAGGGCGATGTTGACAGAAGATTATAGAACTCATCGCCAAAGTAAACATGAAGCCACGCATACACTAAATTTAATTGGTTCAACTTTACGCAAACAACGCAAAGACAAGTTGAAAAAAGCAATGCAAAAGTTGAATAGCCTAGGCCTAGCCTTGGCTAAGGCTAAGCCTAGGTCCATAGAGAGAGTCGATCGTGTTGCGTTGTCAAGTTTGCGTTGTTGGTTCCCACTTGTAAGCTGTAAAACCTCGCGCTGCATCACTTTACATCGTTGCATTGTGTCCGAGTCCTTGCATCCTAGTGGGAACCAAGCTTTAGTACTACACAATCTAGCCTTAGTAGGCCTAGCCAACACTGGGACTTGTCTGCCTTGACATGATGTAAGAAGTGAAGAACCAAGTTGGGCTACTAGACCTTGGCCTAGTCTAGCTCTAGCCCAGTACCTAGTAGCTACTAGGAGTAGTAGCCCTCGGCCTAGGCTATTCTATGCCTGCCTAGCCTAGGCTAGTACCTGGTGCTTGTCGCTTAAAATATCTTCAGCCAATTCCTCTAATTCACTAAAATGTCGAAGGACTGTTTGTGTATCGAGAGCCATTCTTGTGTCCTGAATTGAATTAACTAGGCCTATACCCCCTGCCTTTCCAAACCAAATCTAAAACTTTCATAAACAAATCTCAAAGTTCTTCGCCAGTGATGTTGGCCTGAAAAAGAAGAAGCATCATCAGCAGGAGGACCATCACATTACAAATAGAGGGCGCTATGGTGATTTAAAAACTCGTGTGTATTCGCCTTCTCGCGCCATTTTACTACGATGTGCTGAGTTCTTTATCATCAAAGAACAGCTCTTTCGTGTCACAAATTTGAGTTGTAAGTTGACAAAAAAATGGCAGGTATCGCTGTAGATAAAGATGCATTTTGCCGACGTATGACTTTACTATACGAAGCTTGGAAAGTAAGTCTTAAATTCCATTTCTATACCTAAGCCTGAAACCCTTGTTTAGGTTTTCTTTTTGATCTCATCTACATACATGTAGTAGTACGGGGAGTACGGCACTAAAATCAGTTTGCGCAGGCATAATTTCCTGTCTGCTGTTGCTGTTGTACATCCAGATTAGACAGGCTACCGAGTCTCATTTTGTTCAATGATGTTCGAACTCAACTTCAGCACGTTTTATGTCTAGGCTTAGGCCTAGTTTTTGTTTCTTTGATGGTACGTAAATCAGTCAGTATCAATAAAATATGAAATTTAACCTTGACTAGGCCTAAATTTAATTGTAGATTTCGTAAGATAAATTTTTTATAAAATTATTGAACTTGTGCTTACTAATCATTACTAATGCCCCAGGTCAGGCAGTTTAAGTTAATTCTACACATATATTAGCATATTCAAATTTACATTTGTAATGTTATTTATATTTTAGTGTTAAAAAAACATCAATAACAGATATTTAGGTATTGCTAGAATCGAATACTATAATGAATTTGTAATAAAATCTATTTTTTAATGATTTCTAAATAACAATATTTTTGTATTGTCTAGGCTAAGGCTCCTATATAGAAAAACTTCTCTAGTTTGTCCTATTCTTGAACACTTTTGCATACAGTGTATATGCCTATACCAGGTATTGGGCTTGGGCATTATTAATTCTCATTTTAATTAACTTTGTGATTGGAGGCTTGATTTCTGTTTTTACCAAATAGATTAAGAAAATAGGCATCAAAGTGTTGGCTATGCCATCTTATATTTAAGACGCCCTCCATAACTCATCTTTTTCGAAACGAAAAATCTTGTACTTAAGATAGCATTCTCCGCGATCCCTGCATGCAAATTCTGTAACAACATGGTGTAGTGCGCCCTCACGCAATTACAATTACTTTTGAACTTTCACCTCTATGATCTACGTGCAAATTCTTAAAGCCGCCATAGTAACAACTAGGACGCCCTCTCAATTACATTTACTTTTCATGCTTCTTTACTGAACATTGACGCTTCTATCATAGAAAATGCTATCTTATAATTTTATAAGATCTTTGTTCGAAAAAACTATAGCTATTATTTTGATTTCACTGTTTCAGTAATTCATTTTTTTTCATGAATTATATAAACTCTAATGTAGATTTCATATGTAATTCACTATCATCTTCCATTACTGTGCATAGCATCTATAATGAGTATATACTGGCACAATAGCTTGGTGTGGCAGCTAATTCAATATTCTATCTCCAAAATCCAATTCAATCTTTATCTTACCAAAGAGAAAATATTTTCTCTATGATCTCATACAATTTGCTTTTTACTACTTATTATTTATATTATACATCGTATAATATAAAAATGTCATTTTATTAATTGTATACAAGAAATAATGAATTATTGACAGAAATAATAAATACATTTTATTCAAAAATATTCAGAAGATACAGTAACATGTATTTTTTTTTGCACAAACAAATTTTAATACTAGGCCCCAATCCTCTTTTAAACTAACAGCAAAGTGTGACTCTACTGTATATTGTCAACACTTCATGCCTTAGGCCTATTTAAAACCAAGGCCCAATCTACTATTATTTTTTTTTTCTGAAAGTTTTTGTTTATCTGAAAGTAAGTTACTCAATTCAAATCATACCATGGGCTTTTGCCATTGGAAGGCTGGTAATTGGTATGTAAAATTAATAAATTAGTGGGCCTTATTATACCATTCTGAGGTAGGCTTACTACTGTACCGGGAGGAAATATACTCACCTGAGTTTGTACCTGTAATGGTTATATAAAAAGTCTGAGCTACTTTAGGTGGGCCAGGGGCAAAGATTGTAGATTGAATCATTTAATTACTTAAGAAGGTCTAATGATCATGCAATGTTGCAAAGTGACTTCAGATTTTGGGAGGGGGCCCCCAGGGGTGCAGTGTTGCTACTTTCACATGTAGTGATGCAATATTACAGTAGGCCTAGTGGCTTTAACTATAGGGCCTACCATAATTATTTTAGGCTTGTTCTGAAAACTTGCCTGCATGTACAGTAGGCTGATAGTGGCCTTAACAGGCCCACATAGTATGCAAGATTAATTATTAATTTTTAGACATTGTAAGCTTGTAATTCATTTCAATTGCTTGTTGGTATGTTCTTCCATATTTTTCCAATTGAAAGTTTACCGGGAACATTACAAATAATGTTTAATTATCATCACTATGATTATCACCATCTTTAGTGGTGGCCTATATGTCAAACTGTCTATGTTCATCCCAACAGAAAATTTTAGGCCTTCTATAGAATTTCATCATTAGAAAATAATGTTTTGTGCATCATCTGTACATATTTATTTGAGATATTGTCAATATTTTTACATCTATCAATAGATTTAACATTGTGTCAGTGTGGCCTTGGGCTGATGACTATGTTTGAAGTTTTTGGGCCTGAAACTGCCTTTGCCAAATGAGGATGCATAATCCTGGGAGCCCCATATGAGGATACAGAACCCTGGGGTGTGTTGCAGTCCCTTAATCATAACCCTGATAGTTTCTGCTGACATTGTCTTTTAAAGTGATTTTCCATGTTTATTGTCCATATAAGTTAAATGTATTGATAGCCTATTAATTTGATTATTGTAATGTATCGTTGCAGAATGGTGATGGTGGAAATGGATTAGGCAAAGCAGATGCTCTTGTTACTGCCGTGGGTGTAGATGAGGAAACAGTTTATGCCAAATCAACAGCATTACAGGTAAATTGTTGATTAACCAATTATTGGTTAATCAACATCAATGCGATCAATGAATCCATGATGAAATGCGAGGGTAATTATTTGATGAGCCTACTCCAATTAAAACCTGTTGCAGGGCTTGAATTGGCTGCTTCAGCCCAACAGCAAGAACAATAGCTCCCAGACAAATGTGTCAGCTCTCTCAGACAAACACATAGCTTTAGTTTGTTTCTAGGGTGGGTTTGTACAGGCACAGGGATGTTGTTATGGGCAGAGGTGGGTGGGGGTCACCCCAGCCTTGTAGTTTTCCATCCATAAAATCTACTCTTATTATTTAGAGTTTACCAATGTTATCACCCACCCACTCTTAAAATGACTATCATCACCCACACTTAATTTTCTACAGCTATAAACCTGCAGTTTATAAGTTTATATTAATCGTTATACCTTTATGTTTACCATTTTTCTCTTTGAATTTTATTTAAAAAAAAGCCTTTTTTTATCGCTGCTCCTACTAGACATGGTTGTTCGGTTATGAACTGACAGACACGGTTATGGTTCTGTGCGAAAAAAACATCTACTTCTTGGCCAGCAAGAAGAAAGTTGAGTTTCTAAAGCAGGTGGCTTCGGAGAAGGAGAACCAGGAGGGGTTGCCCCCTATAACTCTATACACGCGGGACAAAACCGACGGAAACAAGGCCAATTTTGCGAAACTCGTTGAAGCAATTAAGGAGAGCAAAGATGTAAGTTTTGTTTCATGTGTGTTATAGCATACAGTACAAGAGAAAAATAAATGGTGGTCACTGAGGGAATGCTAAATTGAGGTGGCCTAGGAAGTGTGTACATGTGGAGTGTCCAGACTACCTCAGCCCCTCTGTGCTTGTGGCTGAGGTTAGAGTTTTTATGGATATGGCATTTGGATGGGTGAAATGGCCCTCTCATTTACCCCCATTTTTTTTTTATTTGGGGGAGATCCCAGGCTAGCTGGGTGTCTTTGAATTTTCATCTGATACTTTATGCCCATGTATAGGCTCTGATGTTATATCATCAATTCCATGTTTAATCAGGACAAGGCTTTTCATAATAACAATTACAGTAATTAAAAATTTGTTTAACATGTTCTTGTACTAATATATTAATGTTGGAATACTGGAAATGATTGATAACAGTAATTTTGTTTCTCCTTAAGGGTAAGACTATTGGTGTGTTTCGCAAAGACAATTTCCCTGGTGATTTCATGGACGGATGGAACAAGGCTTTGTCAGATGGTGAATTTGAGAAGGTAGCTATTGCACTTGGATTTAATCACTTAGTGTGTCATCCATGAAATGTGCATTCTTTTGTGTTTGCTGCTTGTGTGTTGTGGTCTACTATACTGTACTCAACATACTCTTGAGAGTTGATGATCTTGTAAATTTGTTCATACAGGTTATCTGCATTGCCCATAGATATAATGTCACATCATACTTGCATATGGACAAGATGGTATCTCATCCATATATGTGGCAAAGACAAGCCAAACCAGTCACTCGTTGCAAAAATCGATTTTGAATTATTAATACAATGTTAGAGTGTAAAATAATAGCTATAAAATGGTAAAAAAATCATTCAAATCGGACATTTCCTTATGAAGTTACAAGCGTTTAAACACACAGCTGTTTAAGGAACTATATATGAGAAATCAGCCTACAGATTTGGCCATTTTCTCTGAAACACGATTTGCGACGAGTGACATATAGGCATGATGATGTCATTACTGTACGCATATATGGGACAAATCTTAGATATTTGTCACAGAAAACTCAGATAGTGTAGAGGGGTACAATGTTAATTGTCAGCACTACTGATACATTTTTTTCTGGATTCATTCATAAATTGTTGAAAAGGAAGAAAAAGAAATCTGATTCATCTTCTGTAATAATTAACTTCCTTAAAATCTGTTGGAATTTGTGAGTGGAGGGAAAGTCAAAGTGTCCTATTTAGCAGTTCTATCTAATGCCCATACTCCCTGTGCAATGCAAATGTTCCTCTGTTGATTATTATTCATATGAAACCTCTTGATCTGTAGGTTGATATTAGTGCTGCAGTGGCCAAAGTGATGGCAGTGAAAGAAGAAAAGGAAATCTCGCTGATAAAGAAAGCCTGCCAGGCGACATGTGATGTGTTCAATAAACAATTTAAAGAAGAGTTAATGGAGGTTGTTGATGCTGACAAGGTGAGTGACAACATTATGTAGATCACCGTTCCGCAACCTATGGGTCACGACCCAATGTTTGGGTGATTTTGAAAAAATCTTTTATGAATGAAGTGGTATCTTTTAATTAGTTGACAAAAACATCAAGTTGACATAGGTTCTTCTAAACTCAGATGTTCCTCACGTATAAAACGACGGATGTGATGTATTTACTTGATTCCATCAAACTCAAAAAAGTACTACAATATTCAATCATTTTACCATGAAATTCAGGTGATAGATTTGGCCTACGGGTCCGATGCGTCGCCTTCAAATGCTTGACATATAATTTGGGCTGTAGGCTAAAAAGTTTGCAGAATGTGGAGGTAAAAAGTTTGCAGAATGTGGAGGTAAAAAGTTTGCAGAATGTGGAGGTAAAAAGTTTGCAGAATGGGGGGATATAAATCATGTGGCTCAGTTGTGGTACAAATTTACATCAGTGGAAAAAACTACAAAAGCAAAAGAAACCATCCTAATAAAAATAAGTTTTAAAAGGCACAGTTACAGATAGAAATGTCATAAAATTTATAAGAACTTAATATGCCAGTTAAAAAAAGCTCTTGATACTGTGGATATGTAACACTCAGCCGTATCATCTGCTTATGGACACGGGTAACGCAATAGTTTTGCATGTGATGTCAATGAGGTAGATATCTATAAATAATTTGATATATTGCTTTTTTTCCCCCTAGAAAATAAGACACAACAAAATGGCCGAGAACATTGAGTCATCGTTAGAAAACAAGAAAATTATTGGTAATATGGAGTCAAATTTCTTGGATATGTGCTATCCCCCAATTATTCAGAGTGGAGGAAATTACAACCTCAAATTCAGTGTTGTCAGGTAATAATTGTACCAGAAAAGCTACTAGAAACATTACTTTTTTAGGTAGTTTTTGGTAGTTTGTTGTTTCAACTCTTGATGGCTTGGTGTTGTAGATGTAAATGTTTGGTTTGTTTGTCTTACAGTGATCAAAATAAATTACATTTTGGAACAATTATCTGTGCTCTTGGGGTGCGTTACAAGTCGTACTGCTCTAATGTTGTGAGGACGATGTTTGTTGACCCCAGTGAACAACAGCAAGACAACTACAACTTCCTGTTGACCCTCGAAGAAGAGGTTTTAAAAGCTTTAGTTGATGGTGAGCAAAAGAGGAAAAAAAGATGATTTTTAATAATGTTGTCATTGATATGAAATGATGATGGTGACATTGAAGAAGGTTGTGATAGTGATACTATTGTTTGGTTAATGTGATTTACGGCGCAATTATTTATGATTGTTTGAAGTCCGCCATGTAAAATGAAGACTGATTGGTTGAATGATGAAGATAATAGTGTTTGTAATGGTTTAGTTAGCTGCTTATGACAATGTAATTATGGTAATAATGTATGAATATTTAAATCTTGCAGGAGCAAAATTGTCCTCGGTTTATGGTGCTGCTGTGGATTTTGTGAAGAAAAAGAAACCAGACCTCTTACCAAACTTGACAAAGAATATTGGGTAATGACAAATTTCAAATAAGAGCGTTTCTTTCCAGATTTTCACACCATTTTGTAACCATGAAATCCTTAAATTATCTGGCAGTCAATTTTTGTGATAGGAATAAAGCAAAATCAAGTGACATGCCTAGGTATGAACATGATCATACACATCATGAACATACTTATGAGGCATGGTGTGGCAAAATGGCTAAGTTGTAGCAAAAATTGAACACAACATAACATACACATATCATGGGTATACAACAGTAGTCTTGTCAAAGAAAATTTGATTATTTGGACTGAGCTTTATATATTGTGCAACAGGTTATTTCTGAGGTGATTATTTTCTTGTCCTGATTTTTTTAATTGAAAAATACTGTAATAACTTACAAAAAATATAAGCATATAATATATTTTTAAAACTAGTTTAATCAGTTGGTTTTTGTAAATTACTTTTTTTTTTAATAAGTAAAGTTTTGTCCACACTATCATATTTCATTTGACAAGAAATGTCATGCCCATATCAATAACATTAATGGTATTATATTAATGCTATTTAATATGACATCATCATGTCCATATTTGGGTTTGATATGAAATCATCATGCCCATATATGGGCACATGGCATTAATTTGCCACGTAAAATTGATTGTGTGAATAGAGTGTAAGGATTCTGTATATATTTTTTCGTTTTTTCTTTATAGATTCGTAATGGGGATTGAATTCCGAGAAGGTTCTCTGGTATTAAATGCAAAGTCTGATTTAAAAGCAAGTAAAGGGATGGTGTTTAATATCAACATTGGGTTCTCAAACTTAACAAATAAGGAGGGCAAAGGAGAACAGGAGAAGAAGTATGCGTTATTTATCGGGGACACGGTTCTAGTTAATGAGGTCAGTATATTCAATGCTGACTGAGGTCAGTATAATCAATGACGACGGCTTGCCAGTTTTCATTGACTTTTTCCATATATCTGTGATTGAATTTAATCTGTATATGAAATCAAAACATTGATGGCTTGCAGACATTAGGATAGCAAAGTGTTTATTCTTTCATAATATCAACCCACAATTTTTGAATGTGTAAAACGATGCTGATCGCAATCATATCAACTACTAACTATTCTCTAAACTACTACCAACATTATCTTCCAGGATCAACCAGCAACTATTCTGACACAAATGAAGAAGAAGATAAAACATGTTGGTATATTCTTAAAGGTAAGATGATTCCATAAGAGTGTAAATTGTCTGTTATACATACTTAATATTGAATCCCTTGATTTTAAAGTAATTTGATATCTGCTAGTGAAAGCATCATTATTGTCAAGTTCAATGACTATATAAATTAGAATTTGTTGGTAACTAGTTAAAACTTAGTGATGTTAAATATTCTAGGCTGATGATGAAGAGGAGGAAGAGATTGAAAGGCCGGATGAGCTCCTTGGCAGAGGCATGAGGAAGGCTGTTCTAGAAAGCAAACTAAGGGTAAGTATGCTAAAGCTACATTATAAGCAAAGTGACAGTCTTAATACCAGTGTTAATAGAAAGAGCACATTGAAGGCAGGTGAGACAAGTAGAAGGCTGTCTATGTGCCCTTTTCATGTTTTTTGCAGAACATTATTTTTTAGAAAGAAGATCCTTACTAAATTTGAAAGTTTGAAGTATACAAGATATGTTCCTACCAATTAAATCAATTAATACTAGTAGTATTAGGGATTCCTAAGTGTCATTCAGAAAGAGTTACTAAGCTGTTATTGCACTGGCGGGGCCCAGGGAGACGGGATCGCAGTCGAGGGTCCTGAACTACATGACTACTTGTTTGTCAAAATGTGCACCTCATGCTAGTACTGAATTGAGCACTGATATTTCATATGCTATATATTTTCTTCTTTTGTTGTTGTATTTCTCAGACGGATATTTCAACAGAGGATAAAAGAAAGTCACATCAGCGAGAACTAGCAATGCAAATGAACACTGAAGCGAAAGAGAGATTAGCACAAGTGAAGTCTGACAAAGGAAAAGTCAAGTAAGTTGATTGAGACTCATTTGTAAATCTATAATTAAACAAAATTGGTCGCATTCATTGTCACATAGATAGAAGATAGTATATATGGTTTTGTTTGTGAATTGTATTTTTGATGTTTATGTTACAAGGGAATAAAAGTGTCATGGCTGCAGCTTTTTTTTAAGCCCTAAAGAGTTGTATGTTGCTATCGGCCCTATAACATGGGATGAACTTCATGCCATCCTCCAAACCTACTTAAGAATTAAAATATACCTGTTAGTGGCAGTTTTTATTGCTGTTGGTTTCTAACTGAATAAAATAAAAAAAATTTAAATAATATTTTCACGCCAGTTGGCGCTTTTAGAATCAGTCCTGTCCTTGACAACCGGCTAGTAGCCCTAAATTTTTCCAGATTATAAAAATATATGGGAAAAAAAGAATTATATTATAAAATTTATGTCTGAGAATTCCCTCCCTGCCCCTTCTCCCTCCTTCCCCCATCCTGGATCATCCATGACCTCCCTCTTATTATTGGGAGTAATGCTCATTCTATGTTATTTAAACATATTCAGTGCATATCTGTTGGTTTTGGATATCTGTGTAAATATTATAATGTTCAATTTATTTGCTTGTATTCTAGGGTCAAGAAATCAAATGTGTCTTATAAAAGTGTTTCACAAATGCCTAATGATCCGGATATTCATGCACTGAGAATCTCCATTGATAAGAAGCATGAGACAGTTATACTGCCAGTGTTTACCATTCCTACACCTTATCATATATCTACTATAAAGGTATGCCATGGCGTTTTTTTGCATACCAAGTTGAATATGTTGTTACCCATAGTGCATTTTTGAGCAATATTTTAAGAATACATGGGAATAAAATTAAACAAAAAATAATAGTAATTTGAACAAGCAGTTGTGTTGGTGTTTGCTGGAAGGTGTGCACTGACAAACACTTTGTCCTGAGCACTCTCACTGCCAGATTCATGTCTTGTCACATGGACTAGGCTTTTTTTTTTTTTTTTTTTTTTTGGTGCTGTCCTTTCTAATTCAATTTGATGTTGTTTATATATATATATATGCATATATTTTTTTGTTTTCCCCAAATTTTTTGATCGCATATTATTGATTTTTATATATTTTCAAATTTTATATTATGTCAAGAATTTTAAAAATTTTATATTAATTATATGAAGAGTTTTTGTGTATTTTTAATGTAATTTGATATTTTTCATCCAGGGCGTTTACCTTTGTTTGGACCACCAGTCTGTGGATCCCGCATTGCAAACATGATATGCTTCACAAACTGCTAACTTTTATTTTACGATTTACTTCATAACAGAACATTAGTCAAAGCGTGGAAGGAGACTACACATACCTGCGAATAAATTTCCATCATCCTGGTAGCTCGGTTGGGCGCCTAGATACCGTCGCCTTTCCAAATCCAGAGGCTGTTTTCGTTAAAGAAGTGTAAGTGTTGAACACCAACTAATTATCACTTTATTGAAATCAGGAGGAATCTGTAAAATTTATTATTTTTAGTTTGACTTATTGGTCAGTTTGCACTTTTTAAGTGTAGTGTGTTACACATTTTTTATTTCTATTAACAATAGGAACCTTTGCATTCGAGTGGGTGTCATATGATGCCTTCATGTTGTTGCGTCTGTGTGTGTGTGTGTGTGTGTGTGTGTGTGTGTGTGTGTTTGTTATGCTACATTTCAAAAGTTTGTAAACAGGCGTACATGACTTTCCAGAAATATGTTCGACAAGTTTTTTTTTTTTTTTCTAAGTTAAACTGGGTATGACGTCGTGCCCTATTTTTTGGTTTTCCATTCTGACAAATATTAAAGCCATAACTACGGACAGAAAATACCCCTACCCCCAAAAAACTACAAACAACTGTATGGTAAGGCAGTGGAATGTTGAGGATTTTTCTGTGTCGCCTGTCTAAAATGTAATGTATGCGACTCTACGGGGTGCAAAATAGCATTGTAGCTGGACCCTTTCTCAGTATGAAAACTTGAATTGAAATGTATTAAATCAATACAAATATTAATAATGATGTTAATATGAACCACGGTGGAGTCTGGTTAGTCAAATTTAGTGATATGACTCATTTAGGAGTTGCAGTGAACAAATGCAAGTGTTGCCTGCTTGTGGGATGCCTTTGATACGTAGTAGGCCAATATTTTGGAGGAATTTGAACTGCTTTATTAATTTTTTTTTTTCAATTGTATTTGTTGTTTTTTTTTAGTACCTATCGAAGTTCAAACACTAAAGCACCGGGAGAATCATCAGCTCCGGCTACTAATCTCAACACAGCTTTTAGACTTATCAAGGACGTCCAGAAAAAATTCAAAACAAGGGAAGCTGAAATGAGGGAAAAAGAGGTAACATAGATATGGGAGAGGAGATGTGCATATGGAATATATATTAAGGGATCAACCATTAAGGGGGTCACCCATTATTTTTGTCGTCATCATGTTCAAGATGGTAAAAAACAAACTTGTTTCTGAGATTCCCATTTACTTCCCTAGTACATAATAAAATGGTGATTCAGGCCCATAACCAGGTTCATGGGAATGGGCATTTCCTATAGGCCAAGTTTAACTCAGAAGTGTTTCTTTAATAAACAAATTTGATAAAATAGTAATACAGCAGTAAACTGGTCAAAAAGGGGGCTCGACCAAACCCCCAAATCCCCTCCCCCTAGTTATGGGCTTGTGATTGTCATGTTGAGATCATAATTTTTTTTAAAGTCTTCAAAAAAAGATCATATGCAGTGATTTACACACGTATGTAATCTGTTCTGCCTACTTTAGGGAATCGTAAAGCAAGACACCTTAATGATCAATCCGAACCGTGGGAATCCCAAGTTGAAGGACCTGTACATCAGACCAAATATCACACACAAGCGAATCCAGGGAACACTGGAAGCACATACAAATGGTTAGTGTTAATTATTTTAGTGTTGTGTTAGTGTAGTGTCAGAGTGTTGTATTAGTGTATATTGTACACTTTTATTTCTAATGTGTGCATGGTTGTTAAGAGGGATTAGACATTGGTGCAAGAAGGACCTACTTTGTACCTGCTAATGTCATTCTTGCCAGCGCACTTGTTTAAGGCAATTTACTCTAATTAGGCTTGTGCGCTCATGCTTCACATACGACACTAAGTCATTGGTCCAATGTTTAAAGTTGCAGAACTTAATAGCGGTTTGGTACAGCGGGAACGGTTTGGCTTCCAAACCTTGAGGTCGGGGTTTCAATCCCTCGCTGTGCATTTCGTTTGTGTCCTTAAGTAAGGCACTTTATCTGCATTTGCTTCTCTCCACCCAGGAGTATAAATGAGAACCTGGTGGTGGTGGGGTTGCCTGCTCCTTCGCTGATTACCAGCAGCAACACATAAAGCATGTAGACCCAATGACCAGGGAAAAGAAGTGTGCTTTATAACCTGAAGGAAGAGGTGCATTATAAATGCCTATACCAGTACCAGTGGTACACTAATTGAAATATTAGGGGAATTGTCTCCATGTGGACTGCCTGGGGGTAGGTGCTGCACTGTAGCTGCTTGGGTATCCAGTGACCTAATCTGAATTTTCATGTTTATTTCCAACAAGGTCCATGTATATTATGTTTACATTTTTCCCATTTATTATTTTATTTGGATTATTATTTACTCTGTATAATGATGGTGATTTTCCATTCCCAGCTGAAATATCAGCCGACCTTCTAGGATGTGCCGGAACGGTCACTGACTTCTCTGATTAATCATTCTCTCTCTTGACTGGTGAACTAACATGAATAATTTTTTGATCATCTTTTGTATCAGGTTTCCGTTACACATCCGTACGTGGCGATAAAGTTGATATTTTGTATAACAACATCATGCACGCCATCTTTCAACCGTGTGACAACGAGATGGTTATATTACTACACTTTCATCTGAAGGTAAGATGTGGCTGTATTTCCAAATGAATCATCAAATTATTGATGATGAGAACCTATTGAATACATCTTGATAGGAGGTATGATTATAAATATGATTTACCATATTTATTTGTTTAGCAATAATATCATTTCACTAGAGTAAAACATTGGTTATAAAATGGTGTGAACATGGATTTGCTTCCTCTAGTTTAATGCATGGTCATTTGGGGGTGTGGGTAGGGAGGGTGGCAGTGCATTTATTGATGAGAAGAAAAGCTCCAGGGGCATTATCAAATCCAAGGAAATTTTCAATCATATTATACTCATTTTATTATCACCACAGTAATCCAAAAATAAGTTGCCTCATATTGAAGTATTTTAAAATTCTAATAAACAGAATTATTTTTATTTTGTCTCAAATATAGAATGCTATTTTATTTGCTAATAAACGACATGTTGACATCCAGTTTTACACGGAGGTCGGCGAGATTACGACTGATTTATTGAAACATCACAACATTCATGATAGAGATGACATCAGGTCAGAACAGGTGAGTGGTATAATTATCAACCAATACTGTTGATTTAAATATCAGGATTTTTGCTCTGCATTAATTACTAAATTAAGAAGTCTTACATAGTTACTACATGCAGGTGATCTTCAGAACCCTTGTATTAGAAATCGATCATCTTAACCACCAGTCTCGAAATGGAGCAACCTCGTAAAAAATAATCAACTTTTTATCTCTCTAACACAGCATGAAAGAGAGTTACGGCACAAACTCAAGTCAGCTTTTAAGAATTTCCTGGAGAAAGTAGAAACGATCTCAAAAGGTGAAATTGAATTTGAATCACCTTTCCGAGACTTGGGTTTCTTTGGTGTACCCCATCGGAGTACTGTTCTCTTGCAGCCAACAAGTAGTTGTTTACTGTGTGTCACAGAATGGGTATGTTAAAAGCAGCAACTTGTATCTTAATTATGGAAACGATATGATACTTTTATTTAATTCTAACTTATAAATTGTAAAGGAATAATGCATTTTAAATGTTAAATGAATATATAATGATGTTCTTTGTAATATGATTATGAAAGTGAAAGAAAACAGTTATCACATACAGCAGTTAAAATAATAGTTAACTGAAAATGTAATGTCATTAACAACTCATTATTCTGTTACTAAATTGTGTTTTGTTTAAACACTTCCTTCTCTCATTTTTTTAAAACTTCCCACCAACCTTTTTTTGAGTGTAACATTCAAGATGTAAGAAAAAATTAATTCATAATTCATAATGCATGAAATTAATTGTCCTTTGACAAAAAATAGGAATAATCATATTTAAATATGTAATAATAGGGACTTTTTGGCTGAATATGTAAAATATAGGTCCTCATTCTTTGCAATTTGCAAATGCACATCCTAAATTTCGCTATAAACATCTGTCAAGAAACAACAAATGCTGGGAGATATTAAACACAAGTAAAAGTTGAGTGGTGCTGTCAAGATGCATGTTGAGTGATAAGGCTGAAATTAATGTTTATGTGATCATCTTCCAAGATTTCCCTATTTAAACAGGATACATTGTTTACTGGCTATTTAAAATTGGTTATCACAGTTAAGATGCTCAATTATCCATGTTAAGCTTATTCTCGTTTTTGTGACCACAGCCGACATTTGTGATAACGTTAGAGGAAGTTGAACTGGTGCATTTTGAGCGTGTTTCATTCCATATTAAAAATTTCGACATGGTGTTCATCTTCAAAGACTATTCGAAAAAGGTTGCCACTGTCAATTCCGTTCCTATGAATCTCCTCGACCAGGTCAAGGATTGGCTGAAGTAAGTATTTAACAGCAATTTATAGGCAAGGCATTTGGAAAAAAAATCTTAGTATAAGGGACGGATCCAGAGATGTCTGAAATGGTTGCCGAAGGGGGCCCGATCGACACAAAAATACCTCAGGGGATCTGGAGCATGCACCGTGAAATTTTTTTTTCTAGACAAGTGAAAATAACCTCTGAGGTGTTTTGGGCAAACAATTATTTCTTTTTCTTTTTTACTTTCTAAAAGGAGGGGGTCCATGGCCGATTGGCTCCCCTCCTCCTAAATTCGCAACTGGGTACAAATTGTGTACATTGTGCCTATGCTTTATAGTCTTTTTCGAGAAGACTTGTTCCACCACCAGAACTGTAGGCAAGCATGCCCTTAGAAACGGCGCCAATATTATGGCTGTATGTTGTAGGAAAATGCTTGGCCATTTGACTCAAGTAAAATAGATCATGGGTCTAATAATCATACAGTAATTTCTATATTCACTGTGTGCTAATATTCCTTCTCCACTTCAGTCATTATTAAGGTGTATATATATATTTTTTTTTTGCTACAGCTCTTGTGATATCAAGTACACAGAGGGTGTGCAATCTCTCAACTGGACCAAGATCATGCGGACGATCGTGGATGACCCTGAAGGATTTTTTGATAATGGTGGCTGGACATTCCTGGACCCTGAAAGTTCTGTATGTGACTGTCATTTAACTGAAGATAATATTTTGTCAATTTAACTTTATTAGCTCCAAACTTTAGAAGCTAAGAATATGTAATTACAAGTCTCCGTATTAAAGATCACTTTTTGTCATTTAAATGAAGATAATAATTTGTCAATTTAACTTAATTAGCTCCAAACTTCAATTAGAATAATTATTAGTTAATATGGGACCACAGAAAAGTTGTCTTTAATTAGAGGCGGTCTTTAATTGGTGGTCTCATTAATTAGAGGGAGCCCTTCTGTATCCAAACCATTCTTGATATTGTACCCTGTAGGCCTTAAAAATGTTCAGAATTTATCATTGTTTCTTTCATCAGAGGCATAAAGGGAACCACCATAATGGAAACCATTCCTGTTAACTCTATTTATTGATTGATGTTCTAATTCCAGGGGGAAGAGGATGATTCAGAAGATGAAGGAGAAGAAAGCTATCTTCCTTCAGGGTCAGAGGTCAACAGTGAAGAAACCTCAGACAGTGAATTTGACGAGGAATCTGAGAGTGAATTTGATGAGAGTGATGCATCAGGTAAGTTTGCAATAATACTGTCTTGGAGAAAAAGTGCTTGTCAAGACTCAAATTGTTGAAATGTTGCAAAGGAAGATAGTTATGTTGGACCTCATTAAGACTTACACAGCACCCACAATTTGTTATGTCCTTGTTCCATCATCTTATCAACAGATTTCTCAATTCTTTTCTGATTTAATTGTCTGGTGCTTTAAAAATGTTGTCGATATTTCCAATTAAATTATGTAAAATTGCTTGTGAATAAATTTTAATTGAATTGAAATTGCCAGGTGGGTGCCTAGTAGGTTCAAGCTCAAGTGCACTGACGATTAGCTGCAACATTACGGGATTCTCCCGAGGGAGCTGAGTTTGTGTTCCATATGTTTGATCAAATGACCTGAATTAAAGCTCTGTCTAGATTATCAAATTTTTTTTGGTCATAATGAGATGTCATTATGACCATATTTAGGCATGTCACATGTTTTGCTTTAACCCCTGACCAGACTTTCAAATTTGCCTGAATGTGGGCATGACATGACCATATATAGGCACATCATGACTATATATGTGCATTCAGCAAGTTTTTTGTTGCAGGAAGAATAAATAATCTGGACAGAGCTTTGGAGGCCTTGTGGGCACGAAGTGCTGTATTAAACTTCAAAGAGGGGAACCCTTCCGGTAATCATGGAAATAATGTGATGCTTTATCAACCAAGTCACATTGAGAGGCTTAGATGTTTTTTTAAGGAAATACTCCTTTGCTGTCACAGGCTTTGTACCCAGGACCCTGGGATTGGAAAGCAAGCATCTTGTGGACAGACGAGAGACAGCTGGTACCGATTTACCCAGTAGCGCAGACACCCTAAGGGGAGAAGAAAGTTACTGTGCATGCTAGTCCACACCTCAAGCGCTTTGACACTTCGGTATAAAGTGCTATATAAACCTAACTACATTACATTACATTAACCACCAAAGCTATTCTACTTCACTAAAATACCATATTATTATGCTAGTAGGCCAGGTTGTTTTTCTCACTGTCTTTGACTCTTTATGAATGACAGTGGCTGTACTGGGCCAAGATCAACACTCCAGTCGTCTGGTTTCTTTTCGGCATTATCTGAATTTGGAACTTCATACTGCAGTGACAATTGTATGTTCAATCTATTTTCCATTAGAAATGTCATTGTTTTTTTTTCTCATTATTTTTCTCTCATGTGTTGTCTTATGAAATTTGTTATTTTCAGGAGTGGAGGAATTGTCTAGTGATGAGGAGAGTGGAAAAGATTGGGATGAGTTGGAGAAAGAAGCGGCACAAGGTAGGAATCTTATACACATCTAGATGTGTATAAGAGACAGCAAGTACACAGAGGGTGTGCAATCTCTCAACTGGACCAAGATCATGCGGACGATCGTGGATGACCCTGAAGGATTTTTTGATAATGGTGGCTGGACATTCCTGGACCCTGAAAGTTCTGTATGTGACTGTCATTTAACTGAAGATAATATTTTGTCAATTTAACTTTATTAGCTCCAAACTTTAGAAGCTAAGAATATGTAATTACAAGTCTCCGTATTAAAGATCACTCTTTGTCCTTTAAATGAAGATAATTCGTCTAAGGTGAAAATATCCAGATTTACAGATAATATGGCAAAGTAAAATCGCATTTATTTGGTTCCTAAAAGAAATCATATGGTGCAGCAGATCTTGACCATAGGATTGGGGAATTTGCATTCAAGTCTTTGACAGTTTTAAATATCTTGGTATATGGTTTATTCCATCACTTTCTTCTTAAATGTGCATGTGGACAAACTATGTTGTAAGGTGAGCTGTAGATTTTCTCTTCTAGGCAGGAGATGTGTATAAGAGACAGGTTTTAAGGAGGGTCTTGAATGCATTAGTATCAGAAGTTGATTTAAGATTAGGTGGAAGAGAGTTCCATAATTTCGGAGCGGCAAAAGAGAAAGACCGTTCGCCAGTACGAACATGCAGCACTCTGGGGACAGATAACCAGAGAGAATTTGACTGTCTTGTGGAACGTGAAGGTAATTGTTGTGGGATTGATGAAGAAAGATAGTGTAGGGCGTAGCCTTATATGCGTTTATGAGTGAGAAGAATAATTTTGAAGTTTAGGCGTTCACATATCGGTAGCCAATGAAGGTCTTTGAGGATAGGTGAAACAGATCACGAAGTTTAGTGAGACAGACAACACGTGCTGCTGAGTTCTGAAGCTTTTGTAAGGGTCTTAAATGAATAGTAGAGGTCCCATACAATAAAGAGTTACAGAAATCAATTTTAGAGGAGCATGGACAAGTACTTCAGCAGCAGAGTGTGAAATGTTTTTGATTGATCCAAAGATACACTCTTGACCAAGAAACATTTTTTTAAAAACTCCAAAATCATACTAATATACTACTCATGGGAGTGGTTGGGTGGATCCAAAGATGACAGTAGGGAGCTTTCGATTTGTGCGACGACGCGACACTAGAATAGAATCACTCATGCGTGACCATCCTACCTGGAGTCCTACGTTCTTTGTATACGTAGATTTGGCCAAATTGCGTTCCAGAATCTACTCGACGAGGTGACCTTAACGTTCTTGCATATGCGCAGATGACTTCTAGTGACGTCATTACGTTCTACGTCCTACCGTTGTCGTGCATTCGAAAGCTCCTGAATGATATTGGTAGTAGTAGCGTAGTAGTGTTGTCCCACAAATGCACGTTTTGTGTGTTTTTACACTGTCATTTTGTAGGACCTTAGCAACAGTATCCAAGGGGTGGGGCTTAGTGGAACGTTCCATTCTGTGTAGAATTTAGCTTGTGTCCCAGATAGAGAAATAAATAATACAATCACCTTAGCAACAATATCCAAGGGGTGGGGCTTAGTGGAACGTTCCATTCTGTGTAAAATTTAGCGCGTGTCCCAGATAGAGAAATAAATAATACAATCCAATCTCATAATTTTGTCTCGTAGAAACAGATAATAATCTCATATAATGAACATTGCAAGAAAACATGCTATTACTTCTGATATCATGTCTTTAGTGATTTTGAGATAATATTTTAGAATAAGTGGAAGTGTTTAGAGGTTGAGACTCGGACTCTCAGCCTTGTAGTTGGGGGTTAGAAACTCTTGCTGCTGTGCAGGTCGCTTGTGTCCTCGGGCTTTATCTGTGTTTGTCTCCAACCACGGAGTTGAATAAATGGGTACCGGCCTATGCTGGGAAGGTAAACAGCTTCACTGTGAGGAGTAGTTGTGATGATCCCCTCAAAGCATAGCACAGTCTGGCCCCCAACACTTAAGAGGGATGGGCACTCTGAATCTATACAGGTTCAACAACCTTCACCTTTTACTGAACATTATAGAGAAAACCAACAATTAATTAATTCTGATACCATGTCTTTAGTAATATTGAAGTAATGTTGTATTTAGAATACTTGCCCATCACAAAATGATAATTTATATTTTATCGCTGATTTTATCAGATGACAAGCAGAAGCGAGAACAAGACGAGGAGGAAGAAACACTAAGTCGAAAACGTAAACCGAGAAGCCAAGGTGGTGCGGCCAGAAAAAGGAAGCGCTAGCTACCATTGGATGAAATTAATCACATGATCGAAATCTTCACCAATCAGAGCTGTAAGAATCAAATTCCAAGTAGATGATGCAAAATATCTCGAAGGCATACTGGATGACTCATGTGTTGTCTATGTCATGGAAGCAGTCAATTAACATGAAAAGACCATCAATTAGTAAATGGTTTCCAGACCAAATACTCCACTCCTTGCTTTTTCTAGGTTGCTGTTTTGATATATATATATATATATATACACATACTGTACAGTATTATGTTAACCTTGATCAAAGCTACTGAATAACAATAGGATGCTTTTGATTGTACGACAGTGGTAGGATGTAGATTGTAATGATGTGTCACAGTCATCTGCGCATAGGAGAACTTGCGTTATTGTCGCGTGGATTCTGAACGCAATTTGGTTAGGACAGTCACGCATGGGTGAGTCAGTTCCGTTCACGTCGTCGTGCAAATCGAAAGCGCCCTAATGTGTATGCATATTGGATGAAAACAAACACAGTAGGCATAAATCTATGGATCATTTGTTTATATTTGTAGTGTCTTTAAAAACGACTTGCTGGGCAAAACAATTATATATATGTAGCGGGTGTCCACTACTTGAAGTAAGCGAATCCGTCACTTAATTTGTCGTGGGGGCTCGGGTTCCATGTTTACATATATGGCCACAAATAAAACAAGAGGAACCTTTTCTAGTTATATACTTATATAATGATTTATTGGGCAGTGGGGATTACAAATATGGACTTAAAAATTGGACCTAACCTAACCTAACAAACTACTCATGTGAGACCGTCGGCAATGCAGCGTACGCTTGTAGAAAGTAAAATAATAATAAATGCAAGAAGTCCAACAAAAATAGAGTTAAAAATGATATAACAAAGTTCAGCTCAGGAAGATATCCAAAATCGCATCCACCTGCAATCGTCTGGTTGCACTTGGTACCGGTATTTGTTACAGCAAATCAAACTGTTCTTCTGATTCAAGTCAAGAAAATAGTGAAACCAAAAGAGTAGTAATTCTTCTTCCTTATTAATTCAGGAAGGTTTCCAGTCAACAGCTTTCTGAAGAAAATTCACATTTATCCCAAGTCTATCCGACTGTTGGACTATACTTCTGTGTGAAAACGGCATATTTTTATGCCAAATATCTGGATTTGCCCATATATGGGCATGGTAATATCATCACAGCCTCATAAATGGGGAAATCACACAGGTACGGTATTTGTCACAACAATTGATAGTGTGGATTTGGCATATGTCCGAGCTTGAATTCAGACCAATCACAAATCAAAGAGGAGGGGATGTTTAAATATTCAATGTGCATAGGATGATTTCAGGCTTGCCTAGATTGTCGCGTTAACCATTACAGAAATCCACTTGCGGATGTCATTTATCCAGCTTGTTGTGAAGATGTGTGATGATTTTGATAGTAATTTGTATATATTTAATTTACATATGATTCAGTTGTGCTTTTCCAATTTGGTAACAACAGACTGTATATTCTGAAAAGTATTGTCAAGGGAGAGTTGTTGGCAAATTCATAAAATTTAAGAACAGGGGTTAAGATATTAGGTGCAAGTAAATGAATTGTAAAATCCATAGTGCGTCAATAGTGATATAATTAATATATACTGCCGCCTATTGGGCAACATGGTTAGGATAAATACTGCTCTTTCCAGCAACAACATTCAAGCACTGTAGTATGACACTTGTACATTTTTTTTGCATTAGGGCATTATGAGGCAAAAGTATATTACTGTATATAAGACCATCTAACTGTGTCAATATCAGGCAGACATTTGCATTTCAGACAGTATTGGAGTTGATTTAATTGGTGGCTTACCAATTTGAGTGGGCTTTTCTTTCTTGCTTTATAATAAAAACAAGAAATTTGTAAATAACTTGTGCTTGTTTTGGTGTTTGTTGGACTCATTTTTCCTTTTATATATTAAATATGACAGTAGCACATGGTTTATGTTACGCAGGCCTGTACAGCAGGGGTCGCAAATTAGAAGTCAATTCTTGAAGCAGGGGTGGTGTCAGTTGAAGTGTGGGAGGGGGCAGGGCTCCCAAATTTGCAATGGGGGTTGGAGAGGGCTTTCACAGATGTATAGTTTATACCACCTCAGTGCCACCATGTTTGGGGGCTGAGGCAAGAACATTTATGATTATAGCACCTCTAGATGGCTGGAAATGACAGTCAGACATTTTTTTTAATTTTTGAAAATTGAGTTGGGGGTGGGGGACCCCTTTGAATCTGCCACTGATCTGGTTAATGAGCTTGTGGCACATTGTGATACACATTGGCAATGACTTCTGTGAAAGAATTGATAATAAAGCAGTGCAAACGTGCACATATTATAAATTTCCGGGAGATTCCTGCAAGATTTGGGACTCCTAGTACAGTAATACGCAAACACCTAGCTTGACGTTTCTCTTTAGGCGTCCAGGTTTCTTGGAAAGACCTTCCTTATTACACAATCTAACCACATTTTGTGGGGCTCCATTTTTAGCACCCAATAGATCTCTCTACTGTACAAATATGTTTGGATTTGTTGATTCCTTTATTTCAAACAATTCTTCTTACAATGTTGCCACATTAAGAAACATTTGCAAAAATGGTTTTGATTGAAGTGTTGCTTCTTGGGCCAAGATAAGGACTTTCCTCCCTTACCTCCACGTTAACTGACCATACAGGTCTGTGTTACTTGCATAGTTACTTGAGTACCTGAGCAATGCTCCTGTAGTGAAAGCAAAATCAAGGTGGCCATTGCATACCACAAATAGGGAAAATAATTTTGAAACATAGTGGGGTACACAATTTATCGGCCTAAAATAATGCAGTCAACCATAAAAATATTATCAATTACAGGTCATGGCCTCCGTTTCTTTATTCGGAGTAACATTCGTTTTAAGTACTTCACAGAATCACATATAGCAAATATAATTGCCTGCTAAATTAGTATGACCAACTTCATCCATTTTCATTAATCTTGCTGTGTAATTTGATGCAGGTTTGGGACTCGGAAAGTAGCACATTTAAACAACCAATTAAATATTAAACAAATATACAGAAATTTCATTGCCATTTGTTCTAAGTATTACACACTCCCTCATCGCATACTCTTGACATCCTGGTGTTGTACCACATTGATAATGTCTGAAGCAAAAAAAAATCGTGCTCTAGTTAAAAATCACTCATATCACGACCTAGGTCCCTCACTTAATCATCGAGCCCTCCTTCACGCGCCACATTTCCCCCCCACCAATCAGCTCCCCCATTTAAAGATTGCTACTCCCATCATCATCATTATTATATCAGCATCTATATTCTCCAGTTTAATCTTTTCATTCTCCTTTTTCTCCTCTTTATCAATGTTACTTTCTCATGTTCTCCAGCCTTTTCATTATATTTCTTACAACCTGCTTTTCTCTATATCGACAGAAGATTCAAATACGATTCCAAAAAATATGCTGGAAAGATGGACAAGTCATTGCCTATGCTTTCCAGTGTTTTTTCTTCACAAAATCCTATTATTGCCCTCACGATGCTATCAGGTTGCCTCTTCTGATTTCTTATCGTCTTCATCCGTCTTTCCATTCTTTGATGCACTCTCATCTTTTTCATTTGATTTTTTCTTCCATAATTTTGATAAGAATTTCTGTACTTTCGCTTTTAAACCAGGATCTTCTTCTGAATCTCGAATAAACTGACGCGTTGTTAAATTGTGGATTGAACCAAATCCTATAGCCACTACAGTGCATGTGAGACAGATTACGTTATAAGGCATGCTGAAATCGGGTGTAGGTAACTGTACCAACAGGCCTTCGGTGTATATACGCAAGAAAAACTCTGACTCTCTGGGATTACGAATGCTGAAATATTTAAAAAAATAAATTTTCAGTTCAGTAATCTTTATTTGTATACTGTATAAACAATTCACATAACACTTAAAATAGAAAAATAGGAAGTGCTATATTTTCCCTGGTCAATGGGTCCACATGCTTATGTGTTGCCGGCATGACCCCACCAGCTACCCATTTTGCTTCCGTGCTGGTGTACAAAAAAAAAAAAAAAATCAATGAAAAATTTTATATAAATATTCAAATCACAACCCATAAAGTAAAGTGCTAGTCGCATGGCATCTAGGACGCAATTTGGCCAATTTATGCAGCGAACATAGGACGGTCAAGCAAGACTGAATCTGCTCTACCGTCGTGTAATTGCCAAAAAGCGAAGGCACCCTAATGCATCCTGTGCACCTGAACCCTGCTGGTGACATAACCAATGTAGCCATCAAATAATAAACTTACAACAATTTGGTTGGAAGCCCAAAGACATGGATGTGCTCACACATAATGTGTCTTAAGAGTCTTATGTTTCAGATACTTACCTAGGTGTTAGTAATGCTGTATGGTGCTCAGGTGATGTGATGTTGTCAGCTGACATTAACATGGTGCTTATGACTGCAGAGCTGTTCAAATAAACAAGATCAGTTTGCGTTATTAGAATAAACGCTGCTTTGAACGGTCCCAGTTTTAAACACAAAACTGTTGTTTGGCATATTTTCTTGTAATGCGTTATTCATTGGTTTTTAGGTGTTGTAGAATATGTTTGTTAAAAGATCTGTATGTTGTGGTTTTGGCATGGAATTCTTTAGAGTAATGGAGGAGCAGTTTCTATAATTAAGCCATAAGGCTCATATCTAAATGTTGTTTATTATTCAGTTGACCAACACACACAGTCAGCTATCAATCCTGGCCATTCAGACACTTACTGCTCACAGCATGATTTTGCCAGTATATTCTGAATGTTTTAACTTGTTATCGAATTTGAATTTTTTTGGTGTGAATCATAGAAAGAATCACCTATAAAAGTCTGAAGTCTAATTCCTTCAGGATTGTAAACACAGCAGTACAACGGAAGAAAATAAAGCTGCAAATACAAGACAAAAATTTCATAATGACTTGCAAGATAGCCAATACAACAATATTGGTGTTATGATACAATAGAAAATAAAGGGTTACTTGACTTAGGCTGTACTTACCTTGTGTAGAATCCAATGTTAGCATCAGGTGGATGCTCCGTCCACTTCAAAAATGCTTTATCAAACTGAATGCTAATTGTAGTGGTGGAACGGGGAGGTAGCGTAAGCTGCATTTCCAAGATGTACGGTTTGGTTCTATCCTTCCCTGGACTATACAAAAGCTTCTCTGAGAAAAAGGAGAAAAAAAGCATTAAAACAGAATTACAGGACAGAAATACTTTAAATTAAAAAAATAATCTCCAAAAAGTGATACAAAATTTCTTAATATTACATCAGCAGGAATAAATAGTAATAAGTCCATAGTAGGTAATATTCATACCAAAAAAGGTACAGAAAACCAAACAATGAAAACAATTAGAATGTTTAGCGAACAAGAGCCTCAATACTAATATGTGTAACTTCATACCAAGATATAATGTCTGTATTAAACTAATGAACAAGAACAATAAAATACAAAATGTTTAGTATTTTCATTCTTATTCGCCAGCATACAACTCCACACACTCCTTCCATACTTACCTGCTTTAATATGCTTGACCGAGTTTGTAATCTTTATGGTGTGTAGGTACAGACGCATATACCAAGGTATTATATCCAGGTAAATAGTTCTTAGGGACTTGGATGGGTCATTGTTGTGTAGAATGCAGGAGATGCCGCCTTTCTCTTGACCGTAGCCTGTCAGATATTTCTGGCCATACACTGCAGGTGGAGTAGCTTGCGCTGTGCAATAATAAACAATAATGCATGCTAGTGTTTACAGAATATAAAAAAAAAAACACTAAGAAAGCAACTAAGCAATAAAATATTTATAATGAAAAATGTAAAAATTAAAATATGATGTTCTTACCTTGTTTTTGACTTGTTAACATTTTTGCTTCAATGTTCAACTTTCCTTCTTGTTTATGGAGGTCATAAACAGCATATTTGCGACTGTCCCCACCACGAGTCGTAAATATAACTTCAGTTGGATTTGGGGATAGCTGCATCAAATTTGAGGTCTAAAATAAAAACATTCTAAAAAATAAGTACTTCAAAATATATTCTTATAGCTTGGTTTCCATATAATTGCTACAACACTATCGCCGACAGCTTTCGGTGATGATGATTGGTTGGTTGAATCTGGAACTGCTACGCAGTACAACAATTACACTGAAAACACTGTAGCGACAGTGTAGCGATTCTATGGAAACCAGGCTTATCACAAATACATTGAGTCACATTCAAATATATCAATAAAAAAAAAAAAAAAATAAGTAGCATAAAAATGAAATAAAACTGCTTACAGAATTCATGCTAACATCAACCATGACTACACTTGTGGTTGCTAGAGGGCAGCCTCCTTGAATGTTCTTCCCAAACATATTACGCAGCGACCAGCCTGTAGATTTTTGTAGCTTGCTGAGTGTTGGGTCTATGACGAGGGCTAGTGACTGACTCAGTTCAACCGATGACTGGGAACAAATAGTATCGCGGCATACAGGACGGACATGAACAGCCAGAGAGTGGTAGTTAGCATTGTAGAGGTGGGTGGCCTGGAGAAGGGTTCCTAAGCCAGCCTACAAGAATAAAAGAAATGCCTCGTAGATCTAACTTCATGATAAAAATATATCACATTAATATGTATTTGATAGGTAACAACAAATTGGATATTCAAAACATTGCGTTTAAAATCCCTGCATGAACAAAGCAAAAATTTTGCTCTTCAAAAACAATGTTAACATTGAAGTTTTGTAAAAATATTTGGCTGTATGCATTGGCTTTCAGACAAATATCAATTATCTCATGATGAAATTCATGACGAAACATCATCTATCTCAACATACACTGAAGTATTAACACACTCATCACAGCGCCATAGTACGTACCATTGAAGTGCAAGGTAATAGTTTTTTCCATGGCGTCAGATTTTCAGTGCAAACATTTTCTCTTGGTAATGAAGCATAGCGGAGAAGCCTTGAATCGGTAGGGTAACCATCTGAAGATAAAAAATAGTAATAGTGGAACTGTGTAGATTCTATTCAGTAATAATTCAGGTCCATTTCAGACCGCATTTAGGACCAGAGTATTAATGGTCTTTTACAATGTTAGTCTCTAATTACAGGTCTCCTTCCAACTAAAGACCACTGCAGGGACTGGGGTTTGTCTTAATCAGTTAAAATGCTTAAGAATAAATTGTGGCACCAATGGTGTTCCATTTACTTATTTGCATGGCGTTCCACCACTGACAGGCGGAGGCCTACCTGGGAGCTGAAGTTATTAAGTAAATTAAAAATCTAAAAATATAAATCCACGATGGAGAATTATTTTTCAAAAAATATTTATGAAATAAGGTTAATAAAGCTGAGTAAATGTTGAAATAAATATCAATTGCAGTTAAACTTGCCTAAGTCAACTTTGCCTAATTAGAATAATTTCAAAGTTGATTTTATTTTACATGCCAAATTGTTGTGTTTTCCATTAATTAAAAATCTGTTAAGTCAAATTTTATCTGAGTCAAACAATTTTTGCATGCCATTTTGGATTTGACTTAGGCAAGTTCAACTGTAGTAAAACTATCTAGGGTATAAGCACAGTACAAATATTTGAGAACACTAAAAATAGAAAATTGCACAAATAATAATGAATTATAGTGTAAACATAGAATTATTACCAAACATTGTTTAGTTGTTATGATTACCATAAATTAATATTATATGTATACTTCAATATGATAGCCACTGTGCTGGACAATTCTTTAGTACAGTAAACCACTGATGTATTTTATGATTGAAGTAACTCACCAGGTAGGAGGCCTTCAGGTCTGAAAGATAATGTTGGCTGGATGCTGGTTGTGCTATCAATGAAGTTGAGCGAGGCACAGAATTGTCCAGATAAGGCATTCACTAATCCAGCCCATGCTTCATCGACACTATCATTTTTATTAAATTAAAAAGACAAACAATTAATTTATATTTTTGTACAAGCAGTAAGCAATGTTGATTATTATAATTGGGGCTGAGTAAAACATACTGCCCACATTAACGCCGTAGCCAGGATTTTCAAACAGTGCGGACAATATCAGAATGGAACCACTTTACGTGTAAATTCAAACAATGTGGACCCATTTTACATAAAAAATATGAAAAATCTGGACCCATTTTCTTAAATTTTGTCCATTTTAGGCTAAATATGAGAAATCTGGACCCATTTTATGCATAAAACTAAATAATTTGGACCCATTAGAAAAAATGTGTGGGACTGTCCCAATAGCTGGCTACGGCTTTGGCTCCCATTTTTATGGTTTATCTATAGACCATTTTCACGAATTTGAAATGAAAATTTCCGATAACCTGGTAACTACCACTGGGGACTTTCAGGGCCATGCATTTCCCTCTACGTAGCTACCATCATGGATTAAATGAACGATAAAACTAAATTACTAACGAGCACAAATATTTTAAAATGGATAAAACATTAAATGTCATATTAAAAACAAGTCTAAGTCTTAAAAAGCTATTTCTATGTTTACATATACAGTAATTACAGTAATTGTCTACTGCTGGTTTAGCGAAGGTCTACCGGTGCTATCTGCTTCGCGTTGCTCCATTTGTAACTAGCCCCTGGAAGTCCCCCAGTGAGTTGTAAGACGTTTGCGGCACTGTTTCAAAATAATCCCGATAAAATCCAAGATATTCTTTGTAGATGTTTTGATGGCAAATTTAAAAAAAATAACTTTTTTCATAAGACAATGATATGGAAAAATGTACAATACTCCATGCAATGTATCACAACATATCTGCAAGCATTTAATTATATATTAATAAATCAATTATTTGAAACATTTTCTTACTTCTTTGTTGATTTTTTGAACCACACCCATATTTCTGCACCAGGGGGCGCAGAAATTGCTGGGTAGCCCCATGCATTGCTACGCCAAATGCTCTGTGTGAGTGAAAGATGTAACTCTTGCACAGAGTACTTATTTATAACTTGTCCAAGTGTCTTTGGAAAAAGGTTGTAGTGCAACACTGGAATGAAAAGGAAACAATGGTTATCATCATAACAAGATGATATCCATATGCATGAATGAACTCTAGGACTATGTAAATGATGATTAATAATGAAAATAAATTAATTACAATTTGACACCAATCCTTTATGGATTAGTTGTACATGTATATAGGCACTAGACTGTAAAGCAAAGGTTAAAGTGATTTGCAAATTGGTTAAAAAAAATGCAATCAACGTGAAATGAAGTATGAAATGAAGGAAAGGAAATGAGTATACTGTAGGCCTAGGCGCCCCACCCCCCAGGGCTAGGGCCTAGGCCTATATGATTTTTATTTTTTTTGGGGGGGGGGGAATTTTCAAAATGTAAAAAAATTGGGGAGAATCCAATCAAATCAGAGGAGTTGGAACATCTGGGCAGCCTAACCCTGGGCTATTTTGATCAACTCACTGATCAGAATAAAAATGGCGTGATCACTTCCTGTTGAAGTACTACTTTCGTTCTGACGGCTCTATGTGAGCTCGATGACTCTGTAGCAAAACTGGGACAAGGCCCGGCAGCCTTAACTTACATTTCTCCTCTCTTAGTATGTCGATATCCCATTTAGTTGTAAACTGAAAGTGAGCATACACATTGCCAGACGGCAGTGGCTTAATAAGTAGCTCCTCATTTAAAACATCTTCAAATGAATAACAGTCAGCGATTAATAAAATAAAGTATAAGAGGCCTAGGCCTACCAGATAAATTTTGTTCTTCGATATACCCGCCGCCATGCTGTTTATGGTGGCGCTATAATGTAAATGCGCAGTAGCCTTCGGAGCACATGTACAAATGGCGAGAATATTTGATTTTCTTTGTTCAGAAGAGTAATTTTCTGTCGAAGTTTTTCGTTTTATTTGGAGGAAGTTTATTGACATGCTGTAACACTTGAGTGTTTGGATGTAAGTGATATAACTTTCACACAGGTGTTTGCAAATTTTCATCATTGCTAAGTAGATTTGACATAATAAACTTATCCGGTCTTTCCCTCAGTCAGAAGCTTGGCAATTTTTTTTTAAAGGGACGAACCAATTACCAGGCTTGGCAGCTGAAGGCATTTTGTTGTGTGTTTGCGGTGTGTCGTGTGTTTTTGTCGTGTTGTTGGCAAACGTTCAAAGCCGGTGGTGGTGGACGGGTGATTAAAGCAACGGAATGTGTTGAATGAACGTCGATATTCACATATTTAGGGCACCAACCATTTCCGTTCTTCGATTGTGTGTATGTATGTTGTTATGAAATTTGATTTCGATGTTTCAGTTCCCTATGTTTCGTGTTTTGTTTTGCAATTTGAGTTGTTTTACACACACAGAGTTCATCATAGAGTTCACAGTCAGTAGTGATAAGGGAAATCACCCTCTTCTTCGTGTGTTTTGTACGGCACGCTGTATTGATGCCAGGGTACAACAGCTTAGGCCCTAGGCCTAGCCCCTATCTCCCATCATATCCTTAATTTTAAATATTAAACGAGGTAAATACTAAAAAGCACTTCGTTTGACCTTCACTTAAAGGAATAGCCTAGGAGGCCTAGAAAATATTTTCAACTTCTCTAGAGCCTAGGCCTAGACTACTCTGTAGTTGTAAGCATTATTGGCCCTATTATCATACATAATACTGTTTCTTCCCTTTTTTTTTTGTATTTAACTTAGTCTTTGAAAACCACTGATGATGCCCCACCCTGTCTGCCTCTTCATCAATTCCAGTTGTTGATATAAAGCTATGTGTAAATGAGATGACACAGTTTTATCATCATTTCTAATAGGAGATTTTATCTTGGAATTTTACCCTGTGTGATGATTGGAAAATAAAAGGATGGCGAGTCAGAGACCAAAACGAAGGATCATTCCAAACAAAAAATTGGTAAGTTTGCATTTGCATTTCATAATTATGTTTAAAAAAAAAGTGTGTATGGTATTATACCACATTATAGAGGTAAAGCAAGATATGCAGACGTTCCAGCCCCAGGAATACAAGATTTGGGAGACTGGAGTTGCGCTGGTGAAGTGTGCCCCCCACCCCCAAAATGTTAAAAATGCATGCATTCTGATCTTTTGAGGTGTCAGTATCACTTGGAAAGCCTTTGTTTGTATGTCATCATTAATATAGTCGATCCACAAAGGAAAAATTGACCAAAAAGCAACTAAGGCCACGAGAATGAAAGTTGTAGGTTTGCGTCCGAAAAATCTTGAAAACACATGAGGCATTTTTTCATTTTTCATTATTCATTATTTTTTTTATAAATGCTGTCCACAAGCCGCGGCATTGGTAATTTTACATTTATTCCCAAGAAAGACCTCTTTAAACATACAAGATTTCCTATTGGTCAGAAAGATCGATTTGACCCGTAAATGACCTCAGCAGTGATCTGCGATCATGGTGCGATGTGGCCAGGCCTGCCTTCGCTCGGTGTTCGCGACGAGTGATCAGTGATGAATAGATCGTTTTTCTGTCTGTTTACAGCTTAGAAAGTCCGTTTTTTAAAACGAAGTATATTTTTTTCAAAATAATGAACTTTTCAAAATAATGAAAATTTTCGTGCGGTAGCTTTTTAGGCATGCGGGTGGTGGATGCAAACCTACAACTTTCATCCCTGTGGCCCAAAATGGCATTGACAACCTTTTCAACTTAGATAAAATTCATCTTAGGGGCCTACAGACCATTAAATAATGGAAAACACAACAATTTTGCATGTAAAATAAGATTGACTTAAAAATAATTTGAGTTAGGCAAAGTTGATTTAAAGGCAAGTGTAACTGTAATTACTTTTGGGTATTTTGTGGTTTTCTTTATTGCAAATTCGGGAGAATTTGACAAAATTTGGGAGACCAGGAGATTGCGAAAATATTTGGGAAACCCCTGATCGAATTGTTATATATATCTTGGTATCTTTATTCAATATTCAAAATCAAAATTATACAAAAAAATTATCCATAGCAGCCAAAGGCTGAATTGAGGATTTTATTTACAATTAAAAATTTAAAAAAATTTTATTTAAAATTATAATTCAATTCAAATTCAAAACTCAGCAGCAAGAATTTTTGGAAAAGGACTACCAGTTCTTAAGTTATGATCAAAAACGTTACCCGATATTAGCGCCTTTTTCAGCCGTTTTTGGTTAAGATTGTAAAACGGATGGGAGTTAGTGAAAAATGAATAGAAACCTGCCAAAAATAGAGGCATTTTTCTCAAAACTTAAGTTAAGGAAGTTGATAAGATGATCATTATTCCAATGGTCATAACTTTGCTTCCAGCCAGCTGATTGAGTTCATTTAACTGTAATTTTAAAGTATATGATATGCTCTATGCCATCATAACAAAAACTCATTTTGGCCTGAGGACGAGTTTACAGACCTTTTATTATCTTGGGTCACATTTTTTATCTGACGTAGGCCCAGAGGCGTTCAACGCCATGTACAAAGCAACGTTTCTCAGCGGTGCGCCCGGTCGGCTAGACCTGCGGCAATTCCGTGGTGAAACACCAAAAATTTCCAACTTTATCACAAAGTTTCAATATGTTACAGTTATCGAAATTCTACAAACAACATATCATAATAAAGCTTATAATATATAATTTGATATTTACATATTTTAGGAAAAAACTTAGATCGTCTTACTTGATCGCAGTTTACAATTTCTACTTCGAATTTTTTCATCATTCGAAGTCACAGCCATGCTCTCCTGGTATTAAAACTAAAGTTATTGATTCTGTGTACAGTGCGGGTCGTGTGTACACGGTTGGCTGACGATATCGTGTGTGCGAATGCTCTGCCTAATTATAGTAACATTTGTGCAAATTTATAATTGTACATTTTCATTTGCTACCCCATTCTCATCCTTTTTGATGTGTCTGCTAATCTCAACGCCCTACTTTACTGTTCCTTTCTCAGTAGGCCTACATCTTATTTTTAGGAAAACTTCCCTCTAAACACCTCCTTACAGTAGATAGTTATGTAAGTCTATCATAATCTTTTCTTGGTATTAATTACCATATTTTGGGGGAAAAGAGAGATTAAGACTATATCCTCAATTAGTCTTAGTATCATAAACAAAAAAAAAAGCAGGACAAAAAAAAAAATTCCCTGAAAGTATGGATGATCCCTTTACCTTGAATAATTTTACATCAAATTTGATGGTGAGGTTACATTTTGAATACAAATAGCAATGCAAGCAAGGGTTATACATCTATATTCAGTTAAGTTCAAATCAGACAGTGTTGTATTATTTAGCCTGATGTGATTTATCATCGGGACTCATCTCATAAAATATTTAATTTTTTTTTATGAAAACAAAGTACTGTTAAAGATGCCGGCTTACGACAACCCATTGCGACTCCAAATAGCTCATACAGACCCGACACGATGGTAAATCATGTTGGACAGAGTTATATGATGCAGGGTTGGCCTTAAAGCTCATCCAAAGGGTATAACTTTTGATACCCACCCTCTAATGTCATTTTGGAGGAACATAAACATTATCAGCATACTGTCCCATGGAACATGTTTAGCAAATATTGTTACATGTACAGTATGTAAAATTTCTTTGTCTTTTTGGATTTTTTTAAAAATATTTTTTATTTTTTTTATGATGGACAGTTTGCTGAAATATCCAATTGTATGTGTTGGATATTCTTCTCTAGGAAGGAATGTAAGAAACTAAATATAAAATATAAAGTTGACGACAATTTTATCCCAAGAAAAAACAATTTGAGTGAAATCTGTTCTATTGCAAATTAATGACATGCATCCAATTGGATCTGATTGACAATAACAGATAGTTTAGTACTATTTCCCACTGAATCAAAATGATATCCCAGTGGAACTAGTTGGCACATGCCCCATTGCATCAAAGCAAAATGTATCTATAGTACAGTACAGTAGTAGAGCTTAGTGAAACGTATCCCACTAGAACTATGCTGAGTGGTAAGTGTATCCCTCAATTCTCTCCCTTTTGATGTGAATGTGTCCCATCGAATATCTGTTATCCCAATCGATTTGAATGGTACAGTAATGTAAATATTCCATTCAATCTGAGTGATTATGTGTATCCCTTAAATTTTGATTACCCCGATGATCTGAATGAAATGGTATCCTGTTTGAAAGGCTAACCCTTAAAAAGCAAGTTACTGTAAATTAATGTGTACCATTGTAGTGTATACATCACATTGTGGGTGAACATCCCATTGTATCCATGTGGTGTACATCCTTTTTAGATCTCAAGTATTCCATTGGATCTGAGTGATCCCATTAAATCTGAGTAATCCCATTGAATGTGAGTGATCCCATTAGTGTAGATCCAAGTGATCCCATTGTAGATCTGAGTGATCCCATTGTTGATCTAAGTGATCCCATTGTAGATCTGAGTGATCCCATTGTACAGTAGATCTGAGTGATCACATTGGATAAGTGAATCACATTAAAACAATACAGTACTGTATACAATTACAGTACATGTTATTTGCGTTTAATTTCTTTGATTATTTTTCTTCAAAATTTATGTAATGTAAACATTTCAATAGTTTTGTGTGTATTTTATACATCTCTATGTTTTAGAATAATAAACAGAAGGTAGATTAGATAATAATTATATAGTCTTGGTATCTTGTTTTGAAAGAATTTTTTTATTGTGGCCACAGATTATATTAATGATGTTGAATGAGTTGCTTAAATATTATTGGTGTTCTTGTTTATTTCTGTCATTACCTACAGTATGATTATCTGACCCAAGTACAGTAATACTGTAGCATCATTCTCTATAATATTTAACTAGTCTTCTTTTTACTATAAATCTTGTATTCATTGAAGGTTTGTAATCTTTATGCTGATTTGCAATGCCTTGGTTTACTTCCATTGGTTCATGTTAACTTGTCAAAATCCAGGCCAATTCCATTCACCTTGTCTGCTGAAGTTTACAGATGTTCCTTTGCTTTCTGATATAGTATAATACATTGACATCCATAAACGACAAGTAAATAATTAAGCACTATAAAGCTCTGTTTAATAAGTCTATTCGGTTTTCTACAAAAAAAATACTGTATGTGATTTGCCCATATATGGACATGATATGATATCATCATGCCCATATACAACTCAAATATAATTGTCATAAAAATGTGGTAGTGTGCGCATACAGTACAGCTTTAACACATACTGTATGTTCTTGTATCTCGTATAATATGTTGTATTGTATCTCGTATAATATGTTGTATTGTATCTTGTGTCTTGATGAATTTTCTGTTGTGGAGAGGTACTGAGACAGAGAATGTAACCTTGTCAATCAAACTGGATATAAAATAATTATAGTAAGTAGTGCTTTGCCTTTTCCCTTGACCTTAAAATCAAAAGAACATTTTGTAGCCTTGAAATTATGCTTTGTTGTGGCTGGAGTTCAGATTTGGCTTGTGTCCAATAGGGACAACAAAGCGACACAGTAATCAACTTAAGTACAAGAAATTTAATTCTTAACACCAAGCACACTTTCTTATGCTTCTTACCTTGTTTTCTTTTTATTAGTCAGTTGAGCTGCATTGCTTACAAATCTATCGATGTCAGGTAATCAGATGCAGATGACAGAGAAATAAAAGACTACTGCACAGTGTGAATGATTATGAATTAAAGTGTAAAAACCAAACAATTATAGAAATGTATAACAACATGCTTTTCTGAATTTCTGTTGGTCTTCTTGTAGTTTTGTACTTAATGTACTGAACATAGCTGATTCTAAGTATTTGATTGTCACGTTATATTTTTTTTTATAGCATTTTCTATTTTATGTGTGTATTATATTTGTGCTTTGTACTGTATGATGTGTTTATATGTAATGTTTGTTTTTGTAGCAGGTTCTATGATGTTAATTTGCAGCAG